GAAAATTTTGTCAAAAATAAGCTAAAAAGCACAGCAATTTATTAAAATTTGTTTTCGAGCGTTTTATTTAATGTAAAACACAATTTAAAAAAATATATTGCTTATAAAACCGAAAAGTAACCAAATCATTTAAAAAAATAAATAAACTTATTTCTGATCAGCTGTAGCCTTTGATCCAAAATTTAAGTTTTATATTTATTATTTCTGTATTTTGCAATCCGAAAACACGTTTTTAAGATAAAAAAATTCCTTTTAGCGATTTTTGTGAAGAAATTAAGATAGTTTTTCACAAGATTTTGCTTTAAAACACACAAAATTTCTTCAAAAATTAGCTGAAAAACCACAAAATTGATCAAAAATTGTGTAATTATAAAAAAATTTAAGCGTTTCAACACATTTTGCTGTCAAAACTGCAAAAATAACTATAGAAGCAAAGAAACTGGTAAAACTTAATCTTGTTTTTTGAATTAAAAAACAGTTTTCCAAAAACTTGTGATAAAAATAAACAAATTACTCAAAAAATGACATTTTTTTTTGGTATTTTTCAAAAATTTCAGCCTGTTAATTAATAAAATTTCCTCAAAAATCAAATCACTTACTTGTGCTTCGGTGATCCAAGTTGGCCACGGGTCCATAAACGTCACCCTTCTGAAAAACAACAACACTACAGTAACCACAACCACAACAAAAACAAGAATTTCATGAATGGACCATTTTCCTAATTCTTGAATTTTTTTCTCAAAATTGACACTTGCTGTTTCAATTTGTTCACTTGTAAATGTAATAGCTGAAGCATCAAGTGACATGGGACGCCCCCATCCCAAGTACCACCATTGCATTACCGCCCATGTGGGTACCATAATCCCCAAAACCATTAAAAGATTCAGACCCATCCAAGTACCAAAATTGATGGTAACTAATTCAACGAACGCTAAATTGGTACCACTGCCCATGAGAGTACCAAGCCCACCAATGGTGGCCGCGTACGCAGTACCAATAAAGAAGCATTTCGTGACACGTGTTGGGTTTTGGTTCTCATCCTCGAACCACATTTTCGCCAAACCAATTTCGTCCATTTGGTGCAGAACCTCTTTGACTATGACCATCATGAAGCAAGTGGTTGTGGTATTAGAGAACCACATGGAAATGGCAATGGTTGCGATGGTAAAAACGAGACTCAAAAGACGGTACCTGAAACCAACCTGAAAAAAAAAATTCCCCTTCAAGGTTGCAATTTTTTTCACCAGTTTTATAATCCTTAAAGAGACTCTTGAGTGAAGATTACTCATTTCGACGGCTAATCCCAGGATTAGGGCCCCAATCGTGGTCATATTCAAGTCATGGAAGTAATTGAAGCAGGTTTTTTTCGTGTTGAGGACCCCCAAAAGGGGGAAAAGGATCAGGGGGATCAGGGAGGTCACCCCCACTGGTAAGGGCTCAAGAATCCAGAAGCCAATCATCAGGATAGAGATGTAAACCCAACTGTTTCCGGTTGAATTCGAACCGAAAAGGTTGAGGAAGAAAATGAAGATCAAAATCAAAGGATACACAATAATGAAGATTAATTTGTAGTTGAGTAATGTAACAATACATGATTCTTTGAATTCGACCATTTTGGGAGCAAATTTTGAGTTTTTGACGGGATTATGACATTATTACCGATTATTTTGTTTGTCTATTTATTAATATTTGCCGAGATACAATAACAATAAAAATAAATAAAACTTTTATTTCTTTGTGTTTTGTTAAAAAATATTGCTTTTTAGTTGGAGAAAAATGCCGTATAAAGTAAAATAAAATAAATGTTAAAAAAAATTTATCTATAAAAATTTCGAAGTTCTGAGAGTTTAAAGTTTGCAGTTTGACTCTATTTATTTCTGTTGGAGAAATAATAAGTACCTGTCACTAGAAAAAAAAAACTATGCAACTACAAATACAAGCATGTGGGTATGTATGCCGACTATTACCAACCAATGAAGCGCGCGAATTCAAAACTGAAAATTTTAAACGTGAATATCTCGAAAAGTGTGCGTCGCACGTAAAAATGAAGTATGTCAAAAAAGATGCGCAATCAAAGGTTTTAGGGAATGGTTTAGTCAAATTTGATTTTGGCGATGGTCTTTTTCGTATCTCGCTTAGGAAAAACAAAATACCTAACTCATTTTATATTTTCAAAATCTATGCTTTTAGCTGAGATGTATGAGGGGTGACACGATAGGGTTATCTTCACTTTGAAAAACCCACCCCTAAAATGTTTTTCACACAATGCAATTTGTTTTACGTCATATAGTAGGGTTACGAATGAAGGAAAAAATTCCAAAATTTGAGAATTTTTGGTCGACTAAAAACCGAGATTTTGAATTAATTTATGTCAGACAATTTTTTTTGGGGGGTCGACTGTTTATCAATCGACTCTCGTAATTTTTCTCAATATTGTCAATTAATATTATAAACTTAGAATGACTTTTAAGGTTTTAAAAATTGCGAAATTTATGAAATTTTGGCCCGACCAAAAACTACCAGTAAGTCTTAATTTTGATTCTAAATAACACTATAAAGGTCCCAAAGCTCGATCGTAAAAAGTGGAAAAAAAAAGCGTATTCTCCGGTTAATTTTACATATAGTACTAGTTTTTCATAAGAATCAAAAAATGTTGATTTTTGGTCAAAATCGGATATAGTGCTTTTACTTTTAGCCTTACTCTTAACTTTATTACTCAATATCTCAAAAACTAAGCATCGTAGAGTATTTTAACTTGTTGCATCGTGTTCAGCGCGTAATTTTACGTCTAGAAAACTATATTTCAAGCGTTTTTATGACTTTTAGTAAATTGACTATTTTTACGATTTTACTAC